CTGCGCCCACCATGCAAGCTTCTCCTGCATTGACTCCGCCTGCATCCGTACTGTGACGCGGGCTGGGTACACCGTGCATACTGTCCCTGCTCTCTAGTCCCCTTTCCCTTTATGGTTTTCCCGCACAGCTGAACGTGGTCTTTCCTCCTCCCAGGTCCAATCCGTAGGCCTTCGTAGGCTGAAGGTAAAAGCAGGGCCAGGCCCAGCACTGGTGCAGTGGAACCCATATACAGTCTCAGCGGGACCTGCAACTGAAACCTGCTTGTAAAAAGAAAGCCAGATACTTCCGTATGGCAGGTACCCGTACCAAACTTGTCATTTTTACGCTCCAAAGCCAACCACGGTACTGAAAAGCAATTGTATTGTACCAGTTACCAACACAAAAGCCGAACCGCAGTCCAGCTGTTGCTCCCAACACCCAGTTACCATGCTTGTTCCGTATCTGTCCCRGATCAGAGTGTCGGGCCGAACCGGAAATAGCCACTTGATAATTMTGAGCTGCCAACACCGAACCTGAAAGTGATGTAGTGATGTGTATCATACCGATGCCGGATACCGTAGAAAACTGAAAAACCAGGGTAGTACCGAACCTATTCCGGGCCTGAAACAACCATCCCCGAGCCTGTAAAAAAAAGCAGACGCGTGTACCACTTCGGTGCCGAGCCAATGCCGTATCAATACCGAACCCGAAAAAGATCTGCGGCGTGTACCTCAGCGATGCTAAACCAATGCCGAACACGAGACAACCGTACCATGCCGATGCCGAACCAATACCGAGCCAACACCGAATCTGAGAACATGTCAAATGCCGCACAATACCGTGGTCCCAAAGCTGAAATAAAGCGCCATAGTGGCACCAAGCGTGGAATAAATGGCCGCAGTGACGGTGCCGAGCCTGGGTTAAATATCCGTGATAACGCCGAACCTGGGATAAATTGCCGCCAACGTCTCTAACCTGGAATAACTGTCGTAGTAGCCCCGGTCCTGAGAATAAATCACCGTACCTGTCCCAAACCTGAAAATAAGTCACCGTAGTGAAACAACTGTCACCGGCCAGACACTGTAGTACGAAGCCACTCCGTAACAACCCTCGTATCCGTACTGAACCAAACACCATAGTCGACCCAAGGTAGCACCACCCCATGCTGTCCATGCGATCGTCCTCGGACTGTCACAGTGAAGTTAGTAAATAGGTGGATCGGGAAAGTGGCACGAAAAACCTTGATCATCAGGGATTGGCGAAAAAGGTGGGGATCCAGAGAAGACTGATTAATCGGGGTTCAGAGCCGACGGTGGGAAATCCAAGGAAAATCAGGCCAAGCATCGAATAATCATCGGTTCTTGTTCGTTCCATCATTTTTAATCATCCCCGTAATATAAATTCCGTAAATTGTTGAAATAGTAAAATAACCGTAAACTTACCAAA